GAGCAAATAACAATATATCCCTTATTGCAACCTTCTTCTATATATACATATATCGAACTTGTTTTACATATTTTGTTTTAGTAAACAATTTAAAGAAAAAAGTAAATCTTCCATATATTTTAGACATACATATCTTCTATATATTTTAGACATGCTTACACTTATCTAGACTTAAATTAAATTAAATTTACTGGTACTTATCTGCATTAAACAGGTTAATGTATATTTAACAAAAACTTAAATTATATTATCTGACACATGTCTGCATAATACAAATTAAAGTATAATGAACCAATTTCAGAGTGAACACCAACCTATATAACAATAAACGAAGAAATTCCTTTATACTTCGAAACAACTTAAAAACATATTAGTACAACAGATGGACTTCAAGGATATACAAAATCAAGTGAAATCTAAAGTCAAAAGAAAGGATTGTAATTGATAAATAAAACACAAAGGATTGTAATAGATAAATAAAACAGAATTAAATAGAAGTTCAGAAAGAAGAAGACAATACAAAAGTTTAACAATGGAATTCACACTCTGAAACCGACATCGTCTGGGCCAAACTCCTCAAACATATCGATCAAATTATTCCACACTATCCTACCAATCCATTCGGGTTTATCGCCACCACGCACCCATATCCTCTTCAACGCACGCATCTGGTCCCTGAACACCGTTCTAGCACACAAATTAAACTGCATCCAAACCGTTGAAGTCTGTCTATGGTCCCACATGTATTTACGATACAAATAAAAAAGCAGCAAAGATATAAGAATCAAGAAGAGAATTGAATCCTTATATCAAATGTCGGTGCTTACCGCGAGGAGGAGAAACCACCGTATCTTATAGTGGACGGGAACCAAGCGATATGTTGGCCACTTATGGTCCCAATTGTGTTGAAAGATCTCTCCGATCGCGAAAAAGAGAAAATGATTGAATTTGAACCACGTAACAATAGTTTTGTCAACCCAAAATTCCCACACCAAGATTGAAAACGGGAAGATTATCCCGACCAGCAGCGCTGAGGATCACTTCGACATCTCTGATCAATTGTCCTGTAATGGGAGGTACAACATCCATGTCGAAAGGTTGTGTCAGAGAGAATGAGGTGTAATATAAAATTAGGAGATTCTAATATAAGAGAAAAAACAGAGAGGAAGTCGAAAGATCATATAGACTGAAATATGGTTTCGCGGGAAACAAATTCTCGGAAAACGAAAGGTCACCTAGCCAAATAAATCTTTGAGGAAAGCTCACCAAATTTTAACAACAACCAACAATTATTTTATAAAACTCTAAACGAACGAAACCGTTTATACATCGAAACATTATAAGAATATATTAACATATGAAATAATTTGAAATAGCATATGATACAATGATAAAAATTAAAGTTACTAAATGCAAATGTAAATCACAATCCATAATCTGTATAACTCTTGACGTATAAACCTGGTACAATGCTAATTAACTCAAAGTTACTAAATTCAAACGCTAATCATAGTCCACAGTCCTTGTAAATCTTAAGATATAAATCATATGAATAATATATAAATAGATAATAAATCGCCAAATGATGACCATAATATAAAATCATACTTATTCCGATCAACAAAGTCATAAAAATCAAGGAAGATAGATAATCATCTCCTCCCCACCAACAAAAATACCCAATTCTTTAAAAACCAAAACAGAAAAAAAAATATCGTATATCAATCGATGCATCATTTATTATCCACCCTCTTCGCCGAGCTACTCTTAACCGCACTTCCAATATCAACCAAGGTTCGCTTGAGAGAAGTATTAGGTGTAGACAACAAAGAATCACTCGAAACCTCTGTTGCATCAGAGCAAATAATCGGAGCCTACAACGTTCATATATATAAATTAACGAACCAATTAGTATATAAATGCAATACTCCGAAGAACGTCACCAAAACTCACCCGTCATGAAACGCCTCATCAAACTTGGAAATCAAGTCATCGTCACATGAGAACCTCTCAACCACATAGATAGAGGACTTCATAGCAATATGTTTCTCAGTCACAGAAATCTTGAAAAGCATATCCTTGCCAATCAAATCCCTAATAGCAAACGGCATCTCCGGATCGTCACCCTAACAATACAGAAAAGTTTGAGACCATAAATCAAAAAATATATATAAACCACAAACAAAACACCTCCAAATAAATACATACATCATCGACCACCTCATATAGCTCCTCCGCCGTCTTATCAAAAAATTTAGCCGCCATATTATCAAAGAAAGAAACCTTCGAAGGAGTTCCCTCCGAATCGGCAACATCGAGAACCAAGAAATAACTAAGTATATAAGCTTAAACGATTAATATTAGAACACTCACGCAACTACAAATGGTACCAAACGAAAAGACAACTGTTCATCTAAAATACCTTGCAACAACCGATGAAACACCTATATCACACTCATTACATTTCCATAATGGCAATCCCTGACTATCCACTTTATCAGGGTAAGGAAAAACCTTCTTATTGCACTTCTTGCAAGCAATATAATACCACTTGCCATTGTTACCAACAGAGACGACCCTGACCATAACAATGCACTTCCCAACCTACACCAACATATGCATGATAACCAAAATAAACCGACCAGCGATAAATAAAACCACAAAAAAATAATATATAAAACACCACCTCAGTTGACTCATGTACAGCTCTCAAAGACTTCCAAGCAGTCTTAACGAAGAAATCATTATACAAAGGCGTAACGACCACCGTGGACTCAAATTCATTAGAAGGCTCCAGACTAAATTTATCATCAGACAGCCAGAAATAACAAATAAAATAATTAGATACATATAATCTAAACATTCAGGATATAAAGAATATACCACAGTAACATAACAATCAAAATAAACATACCCATTAATGAAACTCTTCGCAAGAGCCGTGTTCGGATTAAACAAAATATCAGTCGAGCTATAAGAGTTGGAGATACTAATTTCACCTACATTTATTAAAAAAAACTTTAATAAACCCATCACAAGAGGATATTATATATTCGGCTAACGCAGGAAAGATTACGTTAAACAGACCTCTATATTCTCTAATGCATGCAAGTCTAATGACACAGACAACAATGGTGCCGACATTTGCAGCTACATAATCAGCCATCACTGTAGCATAATCATCCCATAGAGTGCACATCAAACGAAGATCACTACAACCACATCATGAAAACACCACGTATAAATAAGAATCAGAAAAATACAATCAGATCAAATTACCATACGTTGTATCACGAAGAGTAAGTTTAAGCCTCATGCTGATTTTCCCCTGTGCCATAACCTGATCAACGGTCCCCAAACTTACGACCTGACCTATGACATCTACAAATACAAATCTAAACTTAGCAACCATATAGATACATGACTAACATAATAACTGCTTTCAAATACTTACCAATCAAGTATGCCTTATCCAAATCGGTAGACAAAATCTCGTCGAACGTCTTAAAATATTTCTCGGGAATGGTTTTCGGAAAATCATGACAATCACTCAATTCCGTGATGTGATAAAAATAAATTTTATAAGGGTGACGATTTGTCCGATAGTCACTCTTGTACTCAACAACCTTGAATGTATCGATGATGTATACACTACCACAAACCCGCTTATCCTGAAATTTTTTTACACACTTCTTATCAAGAGTAGCGTGTATGCACTCACCCTTGATAATTAGTTAGGAGTGTTAATCGAAAATATATTTAAGAAGATGCAACACAGTGAAACGACATTAATTTGACCAGGAAAAAACATAAAAAAACTCACATGTGCATCAACGAACACGACATCCATCATCTGCCCAACTTTAACCCAATGTTTGAGTACACAAAGCTTCATCTTATAGCGATCAGTCTGTGGAGTCAGATCTTTTATGTTAACCAAAGAACCAGGCTTTCTCTTGAAAATCGACATTATCCAACTCGAACAATGTAAAATCTCTTTGTATATATCAAACCAAGAACAAAGGACTTTATGTAAACTCTCAAAATAAAAGTGAAATTTTTAGCTCGTGTTTCCTCGTATCTTATAGCCAGAATTGCAAGATATACATATCCTATATATATGTATATATATATCTAAAGGCTAACGATTCTGAAAATGTATGCCATTATCATAAAATATTCCAAAGAAAATAATTATCAAAACCAAGTACTAATTATGACCGACGTCATAAAATTAGAGTATATTTCCTAAAACATTATAAATATACGATATATTTCTCGAATATATATATATATATATATACATATTCTATTTTTTTAAAAAAATACTAATACAAAACATGCACAAAGTAACAATATCGGTAAAGAAGAATATTGGAATATATATTTAAAATATCTATAAGGTATGATACAGTATATTCACAATATTCTACACAGCCACGATATTATCCTAACATTTTTGTTTGATTTAAATATTAGTCATTAATTATAACCGACTTCATACGATCCAATACATAAGACCAATATCCTTAATATTAATATATAACATTTTTAGAGAAAGTCTGATATGGATAAAACTTGCAAACTAGCAGTTTCGATAAGGATAAAGATCCGAAAAAATATTAATATGTATACATATAATACATGTTACAGAATATATTCCGAATTTTGCATGATACAATATAATCTCGAATAGGTATCACATATATCAGCCACATAAAAAAAGTGTTAGATATTTATCTAATCAAAATTTTCGTACGCTGTATATACCGCTAGCATCTATATGTCCTTACGATAACACGTATACCCATAAAATAAAAGTAAAGACGCCACAGCATATTCTCGAAATCTTGCATGATACAAATATCCTCGAAGTTACGTTACAAATAGCATAAAGTTTATACCGAAGCCAAAACTACAGCTAACAGAATCAAATACCACAAAACCTTAACCCAAACCAAAAATTCGCATGGAAGTACTCATATTAACATTTATACGTCCTAAACGATAATATTTTTACCAAGCTATTACGATGAGTCTCATCTTCCTCAGTAAAACATAATCATACAAACCAAAAATAACATATAGCCACACTGTATAAATTAGACGATAAAAATGGTTTCGACAATGGCAAAAATAATAAGACAGTAAATAAAAGTCTTGTTTATTAGATATCAAAAATATAGAAACCTAAACCACAGACGACACCAGAAAAATACATAAACGCAAAACCCAACACCAGAATAATCATTATTTCGTAAGAAAAGGTCGCTCGACTAATCCCAAATCATAACAGACTCCAATGGCCCCAGCAAATGATGGATATAAAACACCATTAATCGTTCTAATATCTTCAAAACACGTTGCTCCTCTGACAACAGCTAGCAACATCCCGAGATAATAGATCTCACCACTTTCTGGCCTCACACAGGGAAGTACTACGCCACTTCTCCTAGACCTACAACGACGCCGCGGTAGCCATTTTCTAATGTTCTTATGCCAAACGAACCAAATCGGGAATTCAGTATACAAAAGATGTCTCGACTCAAGATGGTGTTTGTTGTACTCCATCCAACCCTGAAACTGAGACGTTTGAAAATAATATCCAGGAGCAGGTGGTGTAAAATCGTCCGAAAAAATGTTATCCTGGTTTCTTGGTAGATGGAAAGGCAAGATAGTCATCCGAGTATGCTGACTGTATAAAAGAAACAAAATTTAGATGCACAAAGAAACCAATATGGTAGAGCAAAAGAAGATTTATACAACCAAAACGAAAAAGACAAAGCAGTAAACAACATCATCAGGAAAACAACACAATAAACAAATAAAAACTATATTTTATGACAAAGCATTAGTTGTAATCAGCATATGATGAATCGAAACGGTAAAAAACATAAGAAGCAATACCTTTTATGCAAACCGAACTCACGACCACCAATAGATATAAGACTTGAAGTTCTATCACCAAAACAAAACGATGAAACCTAAACAGCTTTACTCTCTTGCAAGTTACCTGCGGAACAACGAAAAACAAAGAACAGGAAATCAGAACTTAAGAAACAAAACATAATGCATGAAACAAAAAATAAACCCTAACCTATTACCTACACGACAGTAATCAACAAATAAACATAAGCAATCGTCTAGATGAATGGGATATATGCGAGTATATATAGCTATGAAAAATCTAGAGTTTTCGTTTTGTAATATAATTTCGAGAAGCAGCCAAGCTTTTCAAATGGTCCACTAGATGCTAATTTCAAAAAGTCCAACAAAAAATCATATGAGAAACGGTTTAAAGATTAGATTACTATACCAATCGATTTATCAATAAGAATCAAACCAAACCAATCGACTTAATTTAACTCGGAATATTTCCATTAAGGGCAGAAGACGCTAACCCCCTTCAGAAGATTCTGTGGTGCGTTTCTGACTTCGCAAATAATAATATAGATCAGAGCAAAATGCAAATCTAAAATAAAAGAATTTAGCAAACATAACACACAAGCATGTAAGTAAGCGACATTGAAACAATAATAAAAATAAAATAAAACACACAACTAACAATCATTTGATCAAGTTCTAAACTAAGGAACACTTGAAGAAAGATGCAACTTATATTACTCACACGGCAAAGGCATAACCTTGAACCTGTAAATAAGAATTTTCTTGGTGGAAGTCGGGTTATCCACGGTTAGTAAAATCTTGCCAACTTCTCCAACGTTGAAGCTTTGAGACACTACCGGTTCATCTTTTGCAACCATCTTCCTCGGTTTCTGAATGATGATTGTGTATCCTTCTTTGTTCTGCGGCACAAACTCTGTTCCATACAAAACCTCCCATCCCACTACTCTTACCTCCCACACGATCGTACATTTCTGTAGATAAAATGTTTTGAGGCACAATAAGAAATTACAGTTTAAGTTCATTCTTACTTACACATACATGGCTTAATCTTTGCATGATCAATCATCTAGAGAACTTAGTATTTGAATGTTTGCTTTATTTTTCAGTTTTTTACAGGTTATAATATTCAAAATGAAACCATAACCTCAAATATTTAAAATAAGATTTATTTGCTAAATGTAAACGTAAACGCCAAAAATAAAGGAGAAACTCTCTTGCATTTTTTTTTTTTGCGTTTACATGTGACACTAGACTTGTTTCTTCCAAAAGAAACTATATGATATTTGGCAAACGCAAGAATTAGAATATTAGCGTTTGAAACGGTTGTATAAAATATTTATACAAAAGGGTCTCTAACCTCGTAAATAATAATCTCGACGGTTTGTTTTGTTGTTGGTTTAACGGTGATCTCTGTGGCGGTATCATCGTGTGTGAAATCCGAGCTGCAGTCGCAGTTATCCACACTTAGTCCACCATACTGAACCGGGACATGTTCTGGTGATATGTACCTATAAACCAAAGACAAAGATAGTGGCTTACATTTACAATAGTTTCTTTTTTGATAATCAGAGAATACTCCAGGATTTTACCATCCTGACTAATTCCCTAGGATGAGTACCGTCATGAAATTGCTAGAAAGCTCAAAGATTTGGTAATTACTTGAAAAGTGTTTCTGCAGATCTTGAAGGACTTGAGAAAACGAGTTTGCTCTTTGATCTTTGGGTCATGAAAGGGCTAATAATCCTATAGAACGCAAGGTACCACCATGGAACGTTGATGAATATCTGATTATACATTCAACAATATCAGATCTGAGCATTCACAAAAGCATTATTGTTCACACAAAAGATTTATACCTGTTTAGAGACAAACTCAGGGTAATTATCTTGAAGAAGATGAAGAGCTTGCTTAGTGGCTAGTCTAAGCTCAGTCTTACCAGGTCCCGGAGAATTCTTCAGATCGTTAACTTGACAGATCGTTGAAACACCACCCGGTACGAAATCGAGCTTTCTTATACTCTTCTCAAGAAACTGAATCCTCCATCTCAAGAACAATTCTCTCTTCTCCTCATCCGAAAACGTTTTCTGATAAAGATCCTTGTTTCGAAACTCGCCGTAGACATTGTAACAGACCGGATGATTCTCCCTGTCATGTCCTTGCATGAACACAACCTTGTCTAAATCGTCTCCGAGGTTTTCGTCGAGAAACTCCTCGATGTTGAAGTCGTTTCTCCATTGGAGTGTCTTGTTGAGCATTGAGTAAGCTTCTTGCGGTTTGAAATCTCTCGCTCTTAGGAATTTCAGCAAAACGACATCGTTTAGAAGTGGTACGCCCCATATGGAGCTTTTGCCGGAATCAATGGTGGTTGATTCTTGTAAGAGGTGTTGAAGCTCGTGAAGAGCGTTTAACTCGGGTTCTGAGAGATCGGAGACTTTGTTGGTTTCTTCTTTGAATGAGCCGAGATTTCGAGGTATCTGATGAATCTTTGGTTTCTCTTCAGCTTCTTCTCTGTTCATCATCTCCGCTAACGATCTTGATTCCACCGGAGAAAAAGCAGAAGCTGGTGGCTGCGCCACTTCAGGGTTTAAAGACTCCGGTTGCTTTGGCGGCTCAGGCATCGATGCTGCAGCTTCTAACACTGCCGCGTCCGGTGGTTCCGGCTCTGTCCAATCTGCTACCTCCGTGTACTTTTTCCTCTGCTCCAACATCAGTTTCTGTGCTGGCTCTGTCTCCGGCTGCTCTGTCTCCGTGTTTGGCTTCACTGAATCATCTTCCTCCGTCTGGTTAGGCTCTGAAGTCACTGTCTCCGGCGTCATTTGACGTGACTTTTTTGTCTCATCCTCCGCCGCGTGGTTAGGCTCCTCTGCCTCTGAAAGTACAAGCAACAACGGATTTGGATTTGTCTCCGGCGTCATTTTGTGTGGCTGCTTTGAATCCTCCGCCGTGTTGTTGAAACATTCTGGCTCCGAAAACAAGGGCAACGGCAGATTGTGCTCAGAGCTCAGCTCCGGTGACTCCGGCTGCGGCTGAATTAGCTCTAATTTCTCTGGCTGAGTTCGCTCTGGCTCTAAAGTTCCCTGATTTGGCTCCAAAGTCACCGGTGGCGGCTGAATTAGCTCCGGTAGCTCTGACTCTATAGTTGCCTGCGGTTGGGGCGTTACAGTCACCGCCGGCAGCTGAATTAGCTTTGGGTCTCCTTCTCCATCCTTAATATCCAGTTTGGGGGGCTGGTCCTGCTGCGTCAGAAAGGTGGAAGGATTTGGCATTGAATCGACGGCGGTTGAAGGTGGCGGCGGAGAAGTAGTAGTCGCAGAATCTTGAGACATTTTTTGATTTAATTTAATTGAAAAAAGAAGAAGAAAGGGACAGAGAGGTAGAGACAGAGAGAGGGAAATTTAATGTTAGCGGGTTTTTCAGGTAGACAATGGTCAAAGAAGGTATCCAATGTGACTCAAAATTAGAACTGAAAAAGCTGTCCCAATAAAGTAAAAGATGTCTTTATCCTTTTTCTTTCAAATAATGTGTAACGACCAGTCCTTTTTTATGATCGGAGAATTTGAAAATACAAATGTAGGTACTCCGTTTTTTTATAAATAACATCATTTCATGTTCATTTTCAAAAATATCGATAGAATTGACTTAATTTTCAGGAAGTTGATCAAATTGAGGGGTGTATTGAAACTATAATTTTAGAGGGATGTATTGAAATTAAAATTTTAGAGAATTTGAAAAGATTTGAGTTTTAATAAAATTTTAGATGATTTTATGTGGATTAGGAAAGTTGATATGATTTGATATTAAAATTATGTGAAATCCCACCTAAAACAATGTGATTTGGTTTTCTATATTTTTAATTAAAAAACTCCACCAAATCATTTAAAAATACTCAATATTTTGTAAAATTCACTATATAAAATATTTCTAATAATAGTGGATTTGATTTGGTTTTTACAAATTCTTGATTGAATAACATGGATTTAAAGTGATTTTAATTGGTTTTATATAAAATTTCATGTTCAATAACATGGACTTTGGTAAGATATTTAGAAATCATTAGTTGAATAACATGGAATTTTTTAATAACCACAAAGTTTTCTAAAATTTCTGTTTCAATACACCTCCCCTTAGAGAATTTGAAAAGATTTGAGTTTTAATGAAAATTTAGATGATTCTATGTGGATTAGGGAAGTTAGTATGATTTGATATTAAAATTATATGAAATCCTACCTAAAACAATGTGATTTGGTTTTCTATATTTTTAACTAAAAAACTCCACCAAATCATTTAAAAGTACTCAATATTTTGTAAAATCCACTATTTAAAATATTTCTAATAACAGTGGATTTGATTTGGTTTTTACAAATTCTTGATTGAATAACATGGATGTTGAAGTGATTTTAATTGGTTTTATATAAATTTCATGTTCAATAACATGGACTTTGGTAAGACATTTAGAAATCATTAGTTGAATAACATGGAATTTTTTAATAAACACAAAGTCTTCTAAAATTATGTTTCAATACACCCTCCTTAGAGAATTTGAAAAGATTTGAGTTTTAATAAAATTTTAGATGATTCTATGTGGATTAGAAAAGTTAATATGATTTGATATTAAAATTTATATGAAATCCCACCTAAAACAATGTGATTTGGTTTTCTATATTTTTAACTAACAAACTCCACCAAATCATTTAAAAGTACTCAATATTTTGTAAAATCTACTATTTAAAATATTTCCAATAAAAGTGGATTTGATTTGGTTTTTACAAATTCTTGATTGAATAACATGGATGTTGAAGTGATTTTAATTGGTTTTATATAAATTTCATGTTCAATAACATGGACTTTGGTAAGATATTTAGAAATCATTAGTTGAATAACATGGAAATTTTTTAATAACTACAAAGTCTTCTAAAATTTCTGTTTCAATACACCCCTCTTAATGTTTCAAAAATTTCAATGCACGACAATGTCGTTTTTTCGTGCATTGAAATTCTTTTACTCTAGTATAGAGATTTGCTCCAAAATTTTACATTTGGATCTTTTTCTTGTGCAAAAAGCTTTCATTTCATTATGTCCAAATACAAATAAGTTAAACAGACTTTTGCAATGGCATCAGCCATTCAATTGCTTTCTCTTGATAGTTGATACACAGAGAAAGCAGATTGAATCAAAATGAGCAGATATATGTAGGATATTGTGGAGAATCCTGTGGAGCTCTTTTGAAATAGTATCCGAGATGATTGTTTTGATTATCTCTTAGGAATTTGAATGATTTTAAGGTTAGTGAGTCCGATTGTGGAGAGCTAAATCCTTTCAATTTGTTTCAATTTGTTCAGTTCGCTTCTTCTTAACTCTAATTAGTTTCAAATTGCTTTTCTAAGTCTAGTTTATTCTCAATTACAATCGATTTTAGTTTATTAAATTTTCCATCAAACATATTAATCTTATTATATAAAGTTTAATGTCAATAACTGTCTTCCGCTGATGCCAATAAATTATTATATAAAACTTGATGCCAATAATTGTCCTCGTTTTACCAGTCTCTCGGGAATCCTGAATAAGTGTTATGTCAAATGCAACACTAGTCGCCTTACAATGGCTTGTATAATATTCTCGATCCAGGCTTTGCTGTAGACCCTTCAGTAGGGAATGTAGAGTTAATGTTTCGATTTCGGAACCAAGCTGTCTTGACATCAATCTAAGTAGGGAAACTCCCTAATAGATAAGAGAGCTTCAACCTGTCTAACAAGAATGCAACTTACACTTCAATTACTACTAGGTAATAACCCACAGTTTGTGCGGAGTAAAATAATTATTATATATATATATATAAATTAGATTAATTTTAAGATTATACAATATGATATAGTTGATATAGTTGATTTTATATGAGTTTCATATAACAGTATGCAATAACATACTAAAATTGTCATATAAATTAATTTAAAAATTAAATATCATTACATGGTCCAAGGTTTAGTTGGATAAAAATACGAAATCGCTATATAAATCTTATATATCTCGTGATAAACGACATGATTCAGTGTTTTCATCAATGTCCAAAGCTTTGCATATACTATATTTGTTAATTTGTAAAAAATTCAGAATCTTAATATAAAAAGTGGATAACTAAAATTAAAATCAGAAGTATTTGAATATGTATACGATCAAAATAATTAGAAGCAATAAATATGTAGAACACAGCAAAGTCAGAAAATCAACAATTATAACCATAAATTAATATAAATAATTAGTCTTGTTACAATAAACAGTTATTAACTCCAAAAATATTTAATCAAAAAATATTTTCCAAAATATAAAATATACTAATAAATAAATTTGCATATAAAAACATAGATTGCTCTTTAATACCGTTTATCAATGGGCATTGAAAGTTTGTCTACTTATAAAATATAATATGTAAACATAAACTACCAAAAATGCCTAAGTTTTTTAAAAAAACCCTATGTATAATATATGGTTTCACTAATTTCATAAATTAATAATTACCATAAAATAATCTTATATTAATATATAACTCGATAATTTACTAAAATATGAATATATAATTGTTTGTTTTCATTAAAGTTGGAATAATATTATCGTTTATATACAATTTAAAAGTGAAATGTTTAAAGATATCATTAACTTTCTAAACAAATATTATTTTTATTTAATTATTTAATTTTAAAACAGATAAATTAATAAATATTAAAATTTCAATATTATTAATTTATAGAGTTTCTATTGTAATTATAGTGATTGATTTAAAGCCAACAAACTTAAAGTTTTTCAGTAATTTATTTAAACGATTAAAAAATTGAAACATTTTCTAACCACTAAGAAAGTCAAAAGAAACACAAACAAATCTTACAGAGAATTTGGTATATGATAAATCAAACATTGATTCAAAAAAAATTAAGCAGTTAATATTAGTATCATCATGTTATGGTATTTTACCAAAAAAGGTAAGCAATTATGTTATATTCCATATTAGTCACTTAAGAACCATATATAAAGTAAATAATAATATCATATACCATAATTCCTTATATAGTAAACCTGAATAGTAATAATATATATCATAATAATTTTAGAAATTCGTCATTATGATTTTCTCTGATTGATTGGAAATTCGTCATTATGATTTTTTCTGATCGATTTTTGTCGAAAATAACATATAAAATAATATATTTTTGTAAATATGATTATGAATTGTTAAAAAATATATATTAAAAATATTTATCTTGAAGTATTATATATGTTTTCATAATTATTTTCGTGCATGCTATAATTACATCAATATATAAATAAATTCAATATAACTTTCTTTTATATGTTCTGCTTGATTTTTGAGAAAAATAAATTATTATGTTCTATATATAAGAATATTTTTAATGAACTATTAATAAAAATATTTTTCTGACAAAAGAAATAAACATTATTAAAGTATTATATATTTTATTATGAATTTGAGGAAAATAAAATATAATTTTTAATTTTTCTGTTGTATCTATAAAATATTTTTAATGAATAAATATAAACTTATTTTATGAAAAAAGTAGTAAACATTAAAAAAATATATATATTTTTTTATTAATGATAAAAGTAGAAAAGATTAAAAAGTATTATATATTTTCTATGAATTTATAATAAAATATTTGTCGATATTTTTAAAGTATTTTATATTAAATTATTATTTATAGATTATTTCTTTTGAATTTATTTAAAAAATGAACATAACATATGTGTGGACATAAAATATGTAATGTCATATCATGTAATTAGTCTAGTAATTTAAATCTTTTTTAAAAAATTAGCTGAGAATGAATGTGAGGTTGACACATCAGCAAAATGGTACCACTATAATATTCTACAAATTTAAGGGTTATTTTTTTAATAACGCTTCTCTTTTAATATATAGGGAATGTTTCATAAGGTTCGTAACGTGCAAAATTATATCATTCGCATTTCATTTCACACAAACTAACGAAGTACAAATACCACATACATTTTCTAATAAACCAACTTTGCTATTTCCAGGAAGATATTTGGTGAACAAGATAAGATCGCAAATACATATATTGTATTTGGGTCATGTGGTCTAAGAAGGACAATTGTCTTCTATTATCCACATGCTTTGAAACAGAGAAAGCGTCAGAATGATCTTGCTCCAGAGATGTATAAGTAGTTTTCAGATGTGCCTTATAGTTCTAGAAATACGAATGGCATGAAAATCTGTAGATATTATTCAATGATCTTTTTAACACTTATAAATTTCCGGTGAAACCAATTATATTTCATGTAAGTCCATATTTAGAATGTTCTTTGTACCAATATTCAATTATTCACATATTCATCTTTTGCTATATGTGTATTGATGTTAATTTTAAGTTTTATATAGAAATGTGATAATGATATTTTTGTACAAAGTTTGTTTGTTCATTGATATCAGTCAGCCTTTTTACCATCACCTAAAAATTACTAATTGCAAGACAAAGACATATATGTACGTGGGTGTGAGGGAACAAATCATGAAACAGAAAGACAAAGTGCACTGGTGTAAAGTGGTCTGGTTTTCACATGGAATTCCTCTTTGCTCTTTCATTACCTCGCTTGCTGTCGAACATAGGTTGGCGACTATTGATAGAATGAGAACGTGGGGCTCTGAACAAGCTTGTATTTCCTATGGAGAGCTCAATGAAAAACGTGATCATTTATTCTTTGTGTGTTCTACATATACGGTTTGGCTAGAACTAGGGAGGACTCTTTTGGGAAATGCAGCAAATCCAGATTGGGCGGAAATGCTGGAGTTTCTTACTCAGCTACTCTTGGAGTTATAGATTAAATACTTCTCAGGTTATTTATTACATTTGGAGAGAGAAACTCTCAGAGACAGAGAACAATTTGGGCTGCGATCTTGCAGTTATGTCGCTTTATTAATAGAGTTATGCACAATCCGATTGTTTCACTTCACCACCACTTCCCGCACAAGCTAAAAAGTCTGCTCTGAAAGGAGTCATCGTCTCATATACTCTTATGAAAAATGAATTGATCTCTATCACTCTCGTGTGATCCACAATGCTCTTCATAATGTAGAATGACCATTTTACCATTAATGATCTGACCATTGACCGAGATTAGAGTTGACCATTTTGAGTTGACCATTGACCCATTCTCATTCTTTGTCTCTCGCTCCCTCCCGACGAGAGACGGTCGACGACGACTGCCTCCACCTCCGTCGACCTCCGTTCGCCGCCGTTGCACCGCCGGAGCTTCATTGAGGTCCAAAATTGAGGTCCGTTTGGTTGCAATGAATCATTGGTGTTAATTTTTGGGAAATTTTTGGTTTTAGGCATTGGAAATTAAGAGAAATGATAGATTGAATTGGATTTCATGCACATTGGTGTTTAACGAATGTTTCTGGGTTGAATATGACTCTATATTGGCTACAAATGCATTACAATGGCTGAATCGTAGTGAATTGTAAGTTTTTGAAATCTCTAAACCGACTGGATCTGAGAAGAGTGCGATCTGAGAACTGGATCTTGGTCATGCTATAATAGTATAACTAGTAATACTAGAAATACTGGAAAATGATGTATAACTAGTAAAACTAGTATAACTGGGAACAAAAAACAGTACTGAATGAGTTTTTTGGGATTTTATTGGCAGGTTAAAATGAGCAACTACGTCACCATACATTATAAATGCGAAGGTCGCATCAATGGTCTAGTGTTGAAGACATCAGTTGAGGAGATAACAATACCGATGATAGAAGCTAGGTTATACAAGAAGCTTGGGTTAGATGAAAGTAAGATTAAACTGCAATTGAGTTACATTGCTAGTTGGCTGGATGTGAGGAAAAGTCGTATATTTGTGATGATGAGGATCTGTTGGTATATCTATCGCATGTTGATAATGAGAACCATAGATGTGTTTTGATTGTGGAGTTGATGAGTACACCGGAACTGCTTGTGCAACAATCGAGAGCGGGGATAAGCTCTTATGGTATGAATTATGAAGATTCGCAGCGCATTGATGATGAAAGCGGAGAAATAGGACCAATAGGACCCAATGCCATAACGTTGCATGTTGACAACAGAGAAAAAAATAAATAAGAAGAAGAAGAAGAAGAGGATGATGATTATGATTATGATTATGATGATGATGATGATGATGATGATGATGATGATGATGATGATGATGATGATGATGATGATGATGATGATGATGATGATGATGATGATGATGATGATGATGATGATGATGACGATGATGATGGTGGGGGTAACGGTGTGGAATCATCGGATAGACGTGATTATTATGTTGAGGCACCACCTGTTTTTGAATGCAGTCAGAGTTTAGAGCCATGGGACGACGGTTTGGATTTGAGTATTGATCAAGAATTTCCTAGTAAGAATTCTGTTGTAGAAGTGGTTCATAGAGGCGCATTTGTGGAATCTTAGAAGTGGTTCAAAAGTGGTTCAAAAGTGGTACAAAAGTGGGCAAGATGTGTTTCTCTGGTTGCTAGATACAACCTCGACACAAGCAACTCTGTGGAATCTCTAAACAAAACTTTTAGGGATGCGAGAAAGTACTCCTTAATACCCATGCTTGATACAATTGTTCGAACGTTTTCTGATTGGTTTAACCAGCATAGGAACGAGTCCGTGGCAGGAACGAGTGCTCAGAAACTGGTTCCTTTGGTTGAGAACTTCTTGCACGACAATTGGCCTATAGCTGAGAAATTAGATGTGAGGGAGGTAAACGGTTGTGACCTTGAATACGAAGTCATGTCAGAAGAGGGAAAGTTTTATTTGGTGGACTTGGCCAATAAAACCTGCAGTTGCAGGTTCTTCGATATTCATAGGTATCCTTGTATCCACGCATTAGCCGCTTTCATCTCCTTCAAGAATAATGGAAGGCGTGATATCCGCATAGAATATTACGACTTGTGTTCGAAATACTATTTCGTGGAGATGTGGATATTGGCTTATAGCAGATCGATCTATGTGGTGCCCGATATGTCTGCGTGGATTGTACCGGATTACATCATGGAGAAAGAGATAATACCTCCGGATCGCGTCAAGAAAAAGGGTCGTCCAAAAGAAAAAAGATTTCCATCAACGGGAGAAAGGCGCCGAAGGGGAAGGACACATAACAAACTCAAGCGGGGAAGGACACTAGCAGGGTTACTATATGGAGAAGACTTTGCATGATGTAAAAGTTCTAAGCTTTTGTTACGTGTAACTCGTTTTCGCTTTCTACTATGTTATGATTTCTGTGTAATACTGGTCTAACTATGCATGATTGGTGACTTTTCAAAGTAATTATGTATTGTTATTTAAAAACCAAAACTAATCACCTAAATTAGTTAATTTTGTTAGAACTACAACTTATATGTCATACAAACCTAAGAATTAACAAAATACGAGTTCAAACTTATTGTTGCACTAGAGTTCTAATATCGATCTTTAACATTCTCTTATACTTTAAGAAACACTTTCTTATGGAGAACCAACTTGCTAAGTGAATGGTACAAAAATACCATATTCAAACTTATTATTGCATAGGACAATGATATTCATATGTAAACCATATAATTAAACTGTAATACTAGAAAATATAAGTTTTAGGTGATGTAATATAAGTTTTAGGTGGTGTAGTACTATTTCAAGATTCTGTGTAACTGACAATCTGGTATTACTATGTGTATTTTTTCGGCGGGAAATTGAATTTTTTCACAGGAGAGTGTACTTTTCAAAAAATTTTGATCTAATCTAAAATTCAGAGTTTCATTACAAACTCTCGAACCTCTCTCTGTCTCTTAAAATTGATCTCTCTCTCTCTCTCTCTCTTAAAATCGTACTCTCATCTCTCTCTCATCCTCTCCTCTCCTTCTCTCTCTTAAAATCGATCTCTCTCTCTCTTAAAATTGATCTCTCATCTCTCTCTCTCTCTCTTAAAATTGATCTCTCATCTCTCTACAAATGGATTCGGATTGTAGCTATCACTACACGGACAATTTCCTCATCGACCCATACGAGGAGGAGTTGAAGGAAGAGAAGAGGCACCGCAAGGAAATGGAGAAGATGAAGCAGCATTGGGACATGGTTGGATTCGTCGCCGACGGCCAATATGGGATTCCGAGAAGATGCCCATGTGGTGGATCTATCAAGCACGATGTATCTCCTTCTCCAAAATTTAAACACGATTTTGATACTCAACCAGGCAGTAGGTACTTCACCTGCACCAAATTTAAGGTATAATCTCTATAATTTCAGATCTGGATTTTTTTCTGGGTAAAACTAGTAAAACTAGGTTAAACTATATAGATGTTCTTCGGGTGTAAAACTTGGAATACTAGGTATAACTATAATGGATGTTGCTCGTTTTTTTTGTTTTTTGCTAGGATGATGGACTTCACTTTCGTCAGCCATGGGTTTTCGGAGTCGAACAAGAGATTGAGAAGCTAGTTATGAAAGTTGAAGAGCAGAGCAAGACGATTGAAGAAATGCGAAAACAGATTCAGATCCAAGCCGAAGAGATAGCCAAGCTCAAGACTTAATGAATCTGCAATTTCCTTTAATTGTTGTTTTAATTGTTCCTTTAATTGTTGTTCGAGACTAACATTTGCTTGTATTTTTCTAAGTTATCAATGATATTTTAATTAGTATTACTAATGGTAGTATCACCTAGTATTACTAACTTTTCTTAGTATTTATTTTTCTAACAACATTTAGTACGACTAGTTTTACCTAATAATACAGGAATTCAATAATTCAAATTAAAAACATAGTTCATCCGAGATCGAAAATAAAAACAGAGTACTAATTCCATATAAAAGTAAAGTACTAGTTAAAATAAAAGCAAAGTACTAGTTCCAAATAAAGACAAAGTACTAGTTCGAAATCAAAAGAAAGTTCAACCAAATATAAAAACAAAGTAGACGATTTATCTTGTTCAAGAGCTTGAATCCTTTCTCGCTTTCACATAGTCTTCAAGTGCCTTTATCCTGTCATCAATTCTATGGACGATGTTGTTGAGCAAACCCAATTGCTCTGTCATGGTGTCGTTGAGCAAACCCATCGCGCTAACGACATCCTCCAAAGACATTTTCTTAGCTCGGGGTTTTTTCCTTGCTCTTTCCTCCACCATTTTTCTCGCTCTTTCACATCTTCCTCCTTCATGTCTTCAAACACAACCGTCAATCCATTATCAATACGTTTTTCCCAACTTTCCACAACAGGATCGTGCTCATCAACATCGGCCTCCGTTTCCATTATCAAATCCAACATCGCATTCTCCTCCTCCGAAGCTATCAGCACACTGTCAATGTCCTGTCAAGTTAAACAGATTTAAACAACCAATGTTAACAAGTTTCATTGTTTTTTTTTCAAATCTGCAATGACTACTAACCTTGTTCTCGCATCCGAGCTTTTGATACACAGTCTCAAGTGGCCAGCCTCTTAGGTCGCATTTCTTCCACTTGGACCTGCACATCCTCGGACAATCGACGCTAGGATTTGGTACAGCTTCTCGGAAGCTCTGTCTCAGTGGCATAATGGCCTCCATCACCAAAAGCTACAAATATACGCATATAATTAGACTTACCTGCAATAGACAATCTTAAAATGAAAAGGAAAACAATGCAAAAGACAATCTTTTACCTCCAATGGAATGCAAAAACCAGGAAACGACCATGCACTGCCCAACCCCTTCTCAACAAAGTGCTTCATCGTATCCGAAATAGACTCTAAGATGCGATCAAAGACAATCTCCCCCAAGGAAATGTCTTACACTTATCCAAATCATCAGCGTATTTTAAAAATACATTGAGCACGGGTTTTGCATTGTCTCCGGTTTTGGTGGGAGAGTAGATGATGCTGCTCAAGAAATACAACACCGCCATCCTGAGCCTATCTCCACAATCATCCGGGCCCATCTCCTCAAGCTTTTTCTTCACATCCTCCCTTAATACCTTCTTTTTGTCAGGAAAATACTTTC